ACTTGTGAGACTTGTGAGTCGTATGACATGTGAAATCCCATGTTAGTCAAGGAGAGCTGTCTTAATTAGCACTACTGAAGTTGCTCCGACTTTAGAAAAGGTTCCTGTACTACTTCAAGATGACTTCTATCCGACTTGTGCCTATAGATTTTAATGGAAGTCGCCTCCAAGCTGGATCCACATCTATATTGATGTGATTTGGATCCGACATTACAGGAAGATTACCAAGGCATTCCCTGAAAGTTAAGATAAATATAGGTGCAGCGCTAGAATATTTGAAAGCAGAATGTGATGTGATCATACGCAATAAATATATATGAATAAATGTTTATGCAAAAAAATGAATAATTATTGGTATTCAAACATAAAGTGACAACGTGCAAGTAATGTGCTAATATATCATTTCTACATTTCTACAATAAAGTGCTAATAAAGTGATAACCGTGAGCACATAATAGTGCTAAAGTATCAAAATCCAATATATGACAAAAAATTCCATAAAGTGCTAATTGTGAAGATCCATCCAAGAATGATCCTAAGGTTAGTGCTTCGTATACTCTAACGATTATTGGCACATCGCACGCGCCATTTTTTTTTGAGTACTAGATGTGCGCGCACATGCATGGGCGCCATCTTTCAATAGTTTTTTACATCACAGCCATATTATACACCAGGTAAGAGTTTTATATCCGTTTACGGTGTAAATTTGTGTTAACGCTTTGGTCAATCTATATTGCTGCATGTTATCATGTACACTGGGTTGTATACCCATGTACACTGTAGGTTGTATACCCTGTCCGTGGTTTTATAACTGCGCATGCGCACTATCAACGACCTTTCAAAGAAAATGTTCCCTTTTTCTAGTTAATAATTGGTCCAGTAATTTACTCATTAGGGTTATGCAATTATTCAACCCCCTTTTTTTCTGACTTTTTGTCTCATGTTATTTGGGAATCACTATCCCCTCGTCTTATTATTATAATAATTATTCATTTTTTTGCATAAACTTTTATTCATATATATTTATTGCGTATGATCACATCACATTGGAAAATTCTGTTTTCAAATATTCTAGCGCTGCACCTATATTTATCCTATTGTCTTGTTGTTTTTGGTTACCTTTTTGGTGCTTCTGTGCTTATGGTTTTAGCGATCACTTTTCTGCTTTGATCCATTCCCTGAGAGTTGCTTCAAAGTCGCTTCAAAGTAGTACTCAAGTTGCCTGCCAAAGTCGTACTGTAGTTTGCAGGATTTTCAGGTCACAGTCAGGGGCGGACTGACCATTTGGAAACTCGGGCACTGCCCGAGGGCCCGGGGTCAGTAGGGGGCCCCATGAGATGCCCCTGGTACCTTTTTCATAGGCTTTTTTGAGTTTGGGCAAGGACACAGGGGCCCCATGATCCCCTATTGCCCGGGAGCCCCATGAGTTGTCAGTCCGCCCCTGGTCACAGTAGTGTGAACCGAGACTTAACTGTTTTGGGAAGCAGTTAAAATCAATGGGTTTGGTTCCACTTTAGGTAGTGAATGTGTATGGAATAGTTTGGGAGAATGAAGATATTATTTGGTGTTGTCACTTTAAAGTAGCTGGTTTGTTATGAGTGAGCTACCAATGCGTCATAAAAGATCAAAAAATGCACATACCTCTTTTATTTAGCAGCACGCCACGACATGCAGTATGTGCTTTGTGATACATTGCTATGTGTTGTGTGATGCGCTCTGATGTGCATGCGCCATCTGATGTGCCATTCACAATGACCATACATAGAGCAGGTGCAGTAGTAGTAGTTGTAGTAACGTGCACATGTTGCCGCATGGCACAAGAGTGAATGAGCCCCAACCTCGATTACAACCTTTGCGTTGCAGTCATGCATGTTGTCATTCATTCATTCTGAATGGCAGCCAAAAGTTGGGAATACACAATTAGAAAATCGATCGATCGGTCATCCAACGACTGAGAGGCGTTCATTCGTTGGTCGAAATCATGGCCCACATTAACCAATCTAAAAAAAATTGTTCATCGGGCAATACGTAGTGTTGACGTCTTCCGTACAAGTGGAAGTGATGCAGTGTGTGTGTGACCTTGTAGCCACGCCCTTCCGGCCAGAACGATCGATATACACAACAATTACCAGCAATGAGTATAATATAGTTTATTACATTATCTATATACATAAATAGTGATACATAAAATATAATATGCAGAATTCTGGTTTCATATCATTAGGCCAATCTACTTTTAACATTTGGATTTTCCGTTCGTGTTTATGAAGATTCCTTGGACATAAACATCCAGGTCATCTTCTGTTTCTGCTCATGCGTGATAGCGCTTGATAGATTTTTTTTTCATACAACTGTCATACCACCGCATAGAAAATCGGTCGTTCGTATGCGAAATGACAACATTTTTCACTGTTGTTCAACCGGATTTTTCGTTCACAATATCGTTATCGGTTAAAACATCCTGCTCATCAACGAAGAGAAAATCGTTCGATCAGTGGTTCCGCTAAATTTTTCGTACGATTTTCTTATCCTGTGTACGGGGCATAATGCACATGGACCAATACACTGTGTATAGCACACCCCATCACTCAGATGTCCATGCTCTGTATATTCCGTTGTGCTTTGTTGCCAAAAATACTGCAGGTGCATTATTACATATTGAGGTGTGTTGACAGCCTATTTATAGTGAATGTGTTGCCTTCACACAACGTGCGTCAATGCACACAGAGGTGTGAGTGGGCTCTTATATCTTAGAGGGTTTTTCAGCACTGATTGACTGATCCATAAACTTTATACGTCCAGACCTTTTATAATGGATCCGGGTTCTCAGAACCTTCATTGTTATTATTTAGAGAAAATCATTGTATATTCAAGTTTCACGTGTGATTACAATTATGTCTGTTGTGGTCTCCTGGGATGGTTTAGGGGCCAGATTCACACCTATGCCTTTTATTCAATGGAATGACATGTCAGCACACATCCATGTACTCAATACTCTGTGATGTGTGTTAATGATCAGTACAACACTTTCATGTATTTTCATTGATTTGATGGCTCATCTTGTTTTAGCATGCAGGCTGATGCCCATTCTGTACAGGTGGTGCCTTGCATTTATATATTTCAAGGCACTGTTTACCTTTTTTTAACTTTATTGAAATGTCACCAAGTGACATTTCATTTATCTCGATGCACTGTAGCGAGGAGGGATGGAGACTTCAGATGAGCGCTGGTGCGGAAAAATGCAGAGATTTTTTTTCCTGTACCTGTGTGCTCCATTGTGTTAAGGAGACACATGGGAAACAGTTTATTTGTGTCCTTGTGTAGACCTGCATTGATCATGTGCAGAAAAACAAAGGTTTCTGCACAAGCCCTAACCGAAAAAATGCATGTGCCTAAAAATGGAGAGATCTGAACGCAGTTTCAGAGACCAGCAGCAAGCACTGAACTGCTGCTTATAGCAAGAAATCTGATTCCTTAATTTTTATGGTGAATAAAATATGAAATCTGATTGGTTGCTGTAGTCAACTGCGTCACAATTTGAACTTTTTCATAAAAATCATTACTATGTCTGCAGATCAGCTATAGATTGTGGCTGTGCAGCAAGCTGCTCTGCACAATTAGCTTCATTTAAAAAAAAATAATTTTGGATAGAATGAAAAAAGGTTAGAACCTTCTCAGATTTTAAAGTGATAGTAAACACCGCTGTTACACTTGTACCTACAGGTAAACTTTCAATAAAGATTACCTGTAGGTTCAAGGAATGATGGAACTCCCGCCTGTGCGCAGGAGTCATGGCCGTGGCACAGAGCTCATGCACCGGTGATGTCACTGGCAGTGAATATCTCCTAAATTGTGCACATTTATGAGATATTCATTGTTTCTGCAGCCAGTGATATCAGCGGTGCATTCGCTCTGTGCCACAGCCATGACTCCTGCGCACATGCGCGAGAGTTGCATCATGAGGCTCGGCCATTCAAATGGTCATAGCTCACAAATCCCAGAAGGAAGACCAAGTGAAGATGGAAGCCCTGTCAGTGGTGACATCTCCCCGCTGGAGTGATTTGTTTTGAAATAAGACTTTCATAATGTGCTGATTTTCCGGACGAAATGAAGCATTATCTGACAGAAATGCAGGGGTTCCAATATTTTGGGCCATGACTGTACCTGGTGAGTTGATGCACTCCACCAGTCCTTCCTCCAGCTGCTACATCACAGGACCCAGTCATGATGTAATGGCCATCAGGAGGAACCATGGAGCAGGGTACCAGGTAGCTGGAGGAACCTTGGAACACAGCTGGGGACCAGGTAGTCACAGGAACCACAGAGCACAGCAAGGGACCAGTAGCTTAACCATCCTCTCGAATCCCACTTTAAATTACAGCAGTCATAATGGTAGTACATGCACTACGTTTGTTGCGATTTGCATAGACATCTGTGTTAGATTTCAAAGTCAGGTTTGGTGTGACTGGGGTGTTAGGCTAGGTTCACATATGTGCTGGTGGTGCCACTGCGGATCCGCACAAAAATCCTTGCAGCCGCACCACCCACACAGAAGAATGCGGACCCGCGGACAGGTGCCATTAATTCTAATGGCACGCCGTCCGCACTGGAAAAATCGCAACCGTACTGTGAACCGAGGTTCCCGTGTGGGCTGCATTTTCAGAAGAAGTGCAGGGACTTTTTCCCTGCGTGTCGGGGCACGGCAGTCCATTCAAATGAATGAGCTCCCGTGCCCGCGCAAAACGCGGACCGCAGGAATGCAGATATGTGAACCAGGGGTGAAGTTTAAATAATTGAGGGAAGCTAAGGCTATATACAGTCCGCACAGCATTGAGAGCATATGTTAATGATAGTAATAGTTCATTTGGACAAGTTCAGACCATCTGAAACCAATTTCTAGCTTTTAGTGAACTATTTAAAGAGTACCTCCACTTTTATGGGGAAAAAAATTAGCAGAGTAGCCTCCCTGGCGGTATTCCCGAGTGTAGCTCGGGGTAAAGTTTCAGTACCACAAGCGGTAACCCCGAGCTACACTCGGGCTTACCATGCGGCGCTGCTCTGCGTTCTGTTCTTCTCTTACTTTGTCCTTCGCTCCCGCGATGTCCCCCCTGCAGCGTCCCCGGCAATGTCCTCCGGCGGATACCGGCATCTGTCATCTGGGTTCCATCCCCTGCGACGTCAGGACGTACGGGGACAGAACGGCTGGAAATTTGAAAATGACAAAAAGTGACATTTACTAAATTCACTAAAATAACATAGTAAAACATTACTGTATCAAACCATTTCACATACATTTTGTCCCGAGTGCTTTGTCCTGTGCCCTGCCTTCATTTTTACTGTTCTTTCTGCCTGGAAACTGAGAAATGTCCATGGTGTCCAAAAAGCGTCCCTTTAGGTCAAAAGCGATTTTAGATCAGCTAGAGAATAGTGATAGTAAATCAGAACCACTTGCAGAATTGAGTGATAATGATTTGTGGGGAAATTCGTCATCAGACACTGAAAACGATTTTGCGAATTTGCTCAGTGATGTGCGAACTTAGCGCTATATTTCAAATTTCAGTGTTTTTGGTTTGATTATATTATTAAATTACATTTATTATTATTATATTTATTATTTTTATGATTATTTCATAAATTATAATTTATGATTTCGTGTTTCAAATTTTAACATACCTGGGATGTTTACTAGACTCTTGATCGTTCAAATCCCAACCACGGCACCACCTGCCTGGAGTTTGCATGTTCTCCCTGTGCCTGCGTGTGTTTCCTCCGGGTACTCCAGTTTCCTCCCACACTCCAAAGACATGCTGGAAAGTTAATTGGATCCTATCTAAATTGGTTATGTATGAATGTGAGTTAGGGACCTTAGATTGTGTACACTCCTTGAGGGTTAGGGACTGATGTGGATGCACAATATATGTGTAAAGCTCTGCGTAAATTGACGGCGCTATATAAGTACCTGAAATAAAATAAATATATATAACAAGCATATGCAATTGCAACACAAGTCATATTCTAATCGAAGGTTACCTTACCTCTTCAATCCACAGCTCTGTAATTTTTTGTAAAATACAATGCAATATGGCTACCTGGAGGCATTTTTGTACACAGATGGTGTACAGAACGCTCCCCAGAAATGTAATGTCCTGCTTGTGTGATTGGCTCACTGATTTTACCAGAAGTCTGCACTAAGATAAAAGTAATTTTTAGTGAGATACTCCCAAAGGGAAATCACGTCTAAAGGGATACAAAGACCCTGCAACTGTCCTCATTAGAACCTTGTAGGTGCAGCAGCTGATTGATAATTATAACATCATTCACATTCACACTCACTTTGCACATGGACACAAACAGCTATTTCTTCAGAATAACAAAAGGTAGAAATCTGCAACAAAGTTTGTTTATTTTTTTCAACAAAAGTGGAATTACTATTTAAACTTCACTAAATGTTAGAGACCAACCTAAAATGTGTCAAAACTCCCAACAGAAACTAAAACCTGGCTGCCATTTGAGTCTTACATAGTTACATAATTAGTCTGACTGAAAAAAGACAAACATCCATCCAGTTCAACCAAAAAAAAAAAGTTATAATCCTATACCCACAGTTAAACCAGAGGAAGGCAAAAAGAAAAAAACCCAGCAAAGCATGATCCAATTTTCTCCCGCAGGGGAAAAATTTCCTTCCTGATCCTTCAAGAGGCAATCGGATATTCCCTGGATCAACTTTACCTATAAATGTTAGTATCCAGTTATATTCTGTGTATCCAAGAAAGAATCCAGGCCTTTTTTAAAGCAATCCACTGAGCTGGCCAGAACCAACTCTTGAGGGAGTCTATTCCACATTTTCACAGCTCTTACTGTGAAGACACCTCCCCGTGTCTGGAGATTACATTTCTTTTCCTCCAGATGTAAAGAGTGCCCCCTTGTCCTCTGTGATGATGTCAGGGTGAATAGCTCTACACCGAGTTCACTATATGAACCACTGATGTATTTATACATGGAGATCATATCCCCCTTTAATCTCCTCTTCTCAAGAGAGAATAAATTCAGTTCCTCTAATCTTTCCTCATAGCTGAGCTCCTCCATGCCTCGTATCAGTTTGGTTGCTCTTCTCTGCACTTTCTCCACTTCCCCAATGTTCTTTTTGTGAATTGGTGCCCAAAACTGAACTGCATATTCCAGATGAGGTGTTACTAATGATTTGTACCGGGGTAATATGATATCTCTCTCTCTGGAGTCTATACCTCTTTTAATACAAGAGAGGATTTTGCTCGCTTTAGAAACCGCAGCTTGGCATTGCATGCCATTATTAAGCTTGTGATCTACCAGAACCCCCAGATCCTTCTCCACCATTGATTCCCCCCAGTTGTACTCCCCCTAGTATGTATGATACATGCATATTCTTAGCCCCAAAGTGCATAACATTACATTTATCAACATTAATCCTCATTTGCCACATAGTTGCCCAATTAAACAGAGCATTGAGGTCGGCTTGTAAATTGGAGACATCCTGTAAGGACGTTATTCCACTGCACAGCTTGGTGTCATTTGCAAAGACTGAAATGGGATTTATAATCCCAGATCCTATATTGTTTATAAATATATTAAAAAGTAAGGGTCCCAACACTGAACTTTGGGGTACACCACCGACAGCCCTAGACCATTCAGAGTCTGAATCATTAACCACTACTCTCTGAATATGATCTTTTAGCCAATTTTCTATCCATTTATATACAGGTTTTTCCAAGCCCATAGACTTTACCTCACACATTAGCCGTGTGTGGGGGACTGTGGCAAATGCTTTTACAAAATCCAAGTATACCACGTCCCCCGCCACCCCTCTGTCCAAGTATACCATGTCCACCGCCACCCCTCTGTCCAAGTATACAACGTCCACAGCCACCCCTCTGTCCAAGTATACCATGTCCACCCGCCACCCCTCTGTCCAAGTATACCACGTCCGCAGCCACCCCTCTGTCCAAGTATAACACGTCCACCGCCACCCCTCTGTCCAAGTATACCATGTCCACCGCCACTCCTCTGTCCAAGTATACCACGTCCACCGCCACCCCTCTGTCCAAGTATACCACGTCCACAGCCACCCCTCTGTCCAGGTATACCACATCCCCTGCCACCCCTCTGTCCAAGTATACCACGTCCCCCGCCACCCCTCTGTTCAAGTATACCATGTCCACCGCCACCCCTCTGTCCAAGTATACAACGTCCACAGCCACCCCTCTGTCCAAGTATACCACGTCCACCGCTGAAAGGAACGATTTTCTTTTCCCCTCAGAGACCCCTGGTCTGTGGAGAGATTCCTGGTTTATCAACAGAATTCTGGGAACACCCCTTGAACGCGGGAATAACAGCTTATGTTCAGAGATGTTCAAAGTTTATTAGGCATTAATAAGATTATATAGACTACAGATAATAATAAAGGAGGGGGGAGCGAGTTTCAAAACTGTAACTTGTAAATTTCCATCATGAGCTAACTACATGAAACATAACATATACATTTCTTGGTACAAATTGTTTTGGCTAACTTTCTGGAAAACAGCCAGACAAAGACATTGTCAGGGTCATGTTAGCTTCTGTTGATACATCCTTGAACAACCAAAAACAGTTTCATTAAACTTCTAATACATCTGCAAAAAGCTAACTTAATACTTAAAATGGCGTACATAATACAAAATGGAAGTTATCTAGATCTTTTCAATCCCCTCTGAGATCATGAACATGATCTCAATTCTTTACTTCATTCATCTTTTTGTACATAGCTAGATAACCTTCATTTGTATTTTGCGGCTTGGTAGCTCTAGCAATGCAATATAATGAGCATTTAAAACATAGATATAAAGATAAAACAAAAAACAATATCATGACTATGCTTACAGCGATACCTTTCATCCATGAAAAGACGGAACCAAATCCTGATCCTAACCAATCAAAAGGAGTCCATCCATCTTTTTCCTATAGCTCTTGCTTCTTCCATCAAACCATCTACCTGTTCCCTGTGTTGCTTTATTATTTCATAATAATCTGGAACAGTCATTGTGGTATTATATATCCAAGTACAACATTCATAATCCTCTGTCATCTCACACAGACCTGTCAGAGCAGCACTCATACTTTCAATAGCTAATTCTTGCATTCCAGCTGTTTTTCTAATAGCTCTGGTCTCAGAGTTAGTTGGTATTTTGGGTATGTACTGGCTTTTACCTGATGTTCCTTTTGGTCTATAGCTGCCATGATTGGCACTAATTGGGCTACATAGCACCAGCCCTGGACATTACTCGGTATCCAAGGGTAACAGATCTTACCACAACAGATATAGGTATTGTTTCCCAAGGAGATCGGCAATTTTTGTATTGCAGAATGAAATTCAGGGGTGACAACAAGTGTAAAATAAAAAAGAAGTTTTCCAAACATAGTTTTCCCCACATTATCTTGTATCCCTTCTAAACTTTCATTCAGGGTTTTACCATTTACTTGCCAGAGTTTCACAGAAGAAGCTCCATCCCTCCTTCAGGATCAGATATGTTTAATATGGACTGAGAGCACATTCCCCTTCCCTTGTGGGAAGTATTCCCCAGTCTAAAACACCAATCGGGGAGTTGAGTGACTCCCAGAGTTGGAAAAAGATATGGTGGCATTAGAAGTAATATTGGTCAAACCAATACTTACATTCCCTTTTATTAACAAAAATATTTTGACTGGAGCGGCCAGAAGAGGAATTTCATATGTGCTAGGATGTAACTTACTACATATCCAACATTTATCATAACCGGACTTTTGAGCATAAGCATATTTAAACTGCATCATCAACATTTTTCCTGAAAAGGATTGTTCTCTTCAAAACTTCTCTTTGACTTTCTTTCACTTTTGGTTATCTGGGTCTCATTTAAAAACTAGTCCTTGACCACAGATACCTTTTATTAGGCCCAAGTCCTCAGGGTGATAAATACAGTTAGTTAGGATCCATACTGGCAGGAAAAAGAGCACAGTCAGTGTGCCCAATAGGACCCAGAGTTTCAAAGCACCATGAGGGGCAGTAAGGAATGTCATCTTCAGGGTCTTTCTCACCGACTTCACCCGCTCTTCGAGGATTTTCTACTCATACTTCACCTCCTTTTTCCATCTCGTGTTTCTCAAGTGTTTGGTTCACCTTCTTCACTCGACTAGCATGGATCCAGGACTGGGAATTCTCCACCAGAACAGCCATTCTGGTAACCGCTATCACCGTAGTAGGTGGTCCAAAGGGGTAGCCTTGCTTCTTGTCTTTAGCGAGTTGGCGGACCACTACGACATCTCCCACTTGGAAAAAGTGTGTTGGTTCCTGAAAAGATA